AATATATTGTTTTTTTTATGGTTCTAATTCTTGATCATTTAGAAGTGAGAACCCTTCCCCCCCCTGAACCCCCCCGCCGAGCAGTGGGGGAAGGGGAATTCTGGGAGTTGAAGTCCACTCATCTTAAAGTGGCCAAGTTTGGACGACACTGGCTTAAGTACTCATTACAACAGTCTGGAGAGTGGCCTATCACAGGATCAGAAACAGGGATGTGGTTTCCTCAATGTACCACATCTAAAAGACATGCCAAAAATGTCATTTAATTTTCCTGGCTACCCATCCCACCACCACACAAGTCCTAAATGTTTTGTTCAGAGCACTATGGTTTTCAAATAACTCCTTTCCCCATCGGGTTTGGTTTGATTTAGCATTCTCTGAATAGTGCTTCTTACCCTCAGCAACTTTAAGATGTGTAGACTTCAACTCCCAGAATTCTCCAGGCAGCAGGAGGCTTGGAAACACTGCTCTGTAAGATGTGGGACTGCTACTACTTGTGACTGAGTTACACTGACCCCTAGTGGTGGTATGTGTGCAATGTAATCTGAAATACACCCTCATTTTAGAACCATGTTTTTCAAACTTGACAACTTTAAGATGTGTGGATTCAGCTCCCACACATTCAACATGCTGTCCGAGGAATTCTGAGAGTTGAAGTCCACACATCTTAAAGTTGCCAAGTTTGAAAAACAGTGGTTTAGAATTTTTCAGGTTGATGTATGCCCCAAATGTAGCATTTGAATTATACTTCTTGGTAATGCCACTAAATAATTTTAGGCCCTGGACTTATCTGTCTTCCAGAAAAGAGGGAAGTATTAGGTAGTAATTTTTATAACTTCAGATGTGCAGCTAACGTTTCTCTTTCTGTCATAGTCATTACAGGCACTTCTAAAGTGATTTACATTACGGATTAGGGTACATTAGGGATGAGAAAAACTGCTTCCCCATCCTGAATTTCTATCAAATAGGTAATCTTAACACGTGCAGTTTTGCATTTTAAACTCACTTAAAAACCTAGAAGCCATATGACCACAGGGTAGTTTCCTTATGCTTTACAGTACTAAAGCTATACACAGTTCATTTCAGAATAAGAACCGTTTAGGTCCATGGAGGTCAAAAAAGTCAAGATGGTCAGCATAACCATGCAATCAAAGCTCCAGTCCTTTTTTTTACATATACAGACCACAATCACACAGTTGGGGGAGCCATCTTGACTTTTTTGATCCTTCCTGCAGAGATCTGTGATACATTGTAAAAAAGAAGGAAATCAGAAATATGTGTAATTGCCCACCTGGCCAATTTGCTGCCCCATTTATATATGCCTTTAAGTCAGCGTTGACTCTTCATAACTGCCTAAGCAAGCCCCTGCAGTGGTTTGCCCTGGCCTCCTCCTTCCTGGGGCTGAGCGGGAGGGACTGGCCCAAGGTCCCCCAGCTGGCTTCCTGACTAAGGTGGGACTAGAACTCCCAGTCTCTAGCCTGATGCCTTAGCCACTAGACCAAGCTGGCTCCCCGTTACTATCCCTACTATTTATTCATTTATTAAAAGAGAAGAAAAGGAAAAAGGATGCTGCAGGAAAAAAGAGGGGACTGAGAAGGGCCACACGTCAACTTTGAGCCACCTAGCTCTGGCCTGGACATCAGCCTGCCCCAGTTCCACCACGGATGTCCACACCCACGAACTCTTTTGGTTGCAATGTTATTTGACCTAATTTTAAGAACAGAGGCATCACTTTCTTTTTCTTTTTTCTTTTGTAAGAAGGGGCTAATTATAGTACTATTCAGTATTTTCTATAGGGAAGGAGCAGCTAGTTAAAATCTGACAGGAGAAAAGAAGGTTGTATAAAATAAGGGATCAGAGCAGACAAATATATAAAATGAATAGCTGTGTGTGATACTCTTTTGCATCACTCATTTTAAGGACTGGGACTGTCCCTTGTAAGTTCATAGACACTGTAAGGGAAGACAGAAGAAAAATAATATCGGAAACTATTCTGACACTCAGTTCTTGCATTTTGCCCTGCAATATCAAATTATTTGCATATGGGTCTCTTATTAATAGATGTATTTATTAGATTTCCAGCCTGCCTTTCATTCAGGAGGTCAAGGAAGCATACTTTGAATTTCCTTCTATTTTTCTCCAAAACATCACCTCACTGAGTCACTCCATGGCTCATAGGGACCTAAGCCTGGGTCTCCCCATTCCTAGTTGAACACCTCACTGTTTCTTAATCCTTGCTTTGAAGATCAGATGAACCAGAGAAGAGGCTACAGACTAGGTTTGTCCCTTTGATTTCATTGTTTAAACGCCTGCTATAAATAAACATTACATGAAGGACATTTTAGGAATATGGAGATGTTTCTGAGTTCTCCTATTCTCAGATTAAACTATCTTTAATAGTTGCTTGTCAAGCAGACATTTAATGAGAGCATTTTTTCTATCACTTCCTTTCCCTGGTATGTAGCTTTTAAAAGCACATGAAAATGAGAAATCAAGACAGCTCTAGCAAGCAAAAAAAAAAAAAAGTTAGATATTGTCAGCTTGTGTTGGCATCTGTGTTCTCAGTATTACTCAGACCAAGCTGTCCAAAACAGTTCTGGATGTTCTGATAAGAGAGAGAAGAAAAAAAAAGAGTGCTTTGCAAATGCTTCAAGTAATTAAGGTTTACTCAGAGACACTTTACTGTACACTGATTTCAAGTAGAACTTTTCTCTTTTTAAGACTTCAGTCCCCGTTTTTAACACTAGAGGGCATTGCTTTGCAACAACAGTGAAATCAAGATCAAAAACATTATGAAAATGGAGAAAGTGGAGTAATGTCTATATTATATGGTTATTATGAATTTCAGTGAAACAACTTCAATTACTGGGTGGAATAGAAATACTATAATATAACTAATCCATTATCATATAGAATATGGGTGATGAAATGGACATTGTAACACCTCAAATCTGTCAGGTTAAGCCCAAGAAACTCCACGAGACAGTACTGGAACAGCTCAGTTACTTTATTAGCTCTCACCTGCTAGACAGAATCTCACCAGACCAACTCTAAACTCCCCAAGCCAGCAACTAAACACTACGAATTCCTTAGGTGGTGCCAGTCTCACCCTCTTCGCCTTCCCATGCTCAAGCTGTGGGCTGAGGAGATGCTTCTGTCCTTGAACCTTCTCATCCCAATCCATCACAAAATCAGAAAGTAGTACCACTTTAGGAGGAATCACTAGGGTCTTCTCCAAAAAGTAAGCCTTACATAGTGTGTATGGGGGGGGTGAGAGAGCGAGTAGTCATGATCATATTTTACCATCTTTATAAGTTTGGCGTAGTGGTTAAGGCACCAGGCTAGAAACCAGGAGACCCTGAGTTCCACCTTAGACACAAAACCAGCTGGGTGACCCTGGGCTGGTTCCAAAGGCCCACTGGCTCAGCATGGCTTGCTTGCTTTCCCTCAGCTTGTTCTGTGCCCCTCTGGTCTTAGCATTGTTCATACTATTTCCCACTGCCCCTTTGTTCACCTTCCCTCCCACTCTTCTGGTCATGTTTTCTTGACCCCAGTGCTTATTACAACTGAGAAGCAGTCAGTTGGCTCAGTTCCATAATCCATGGTCAACAACCACGTTAGCTTTCTCAAGTGAGAGACAATGGGCAAGACAGGTTTGCTTGGTGAGAGCCGCCATTAAGTCTGGTGCTCGCCCTGATTAGAAAAGGGACCTGTGCAGATTATTTCCACTGTTTCTGCATTCTCTCAGTGAGAATGGCAGAGTTATTAGAGTCACTGTGAGTTTGTCTGAATTTTTCCCGCTTTCCTTTCTATTTTCTCCCTGGGTGCTTCCTGCCTTCCTTCATAGACTGAAAGCCCTGCAACTAGCAGCTGCTCTGCCAGGTTGCTGAGGGACCTCTTCATCCTTGATGTAACTGAAATACAGGATGACTGTATACATGTAACCAAGTTCCTCTTTTTTGCAGCCTTTCTTCCTCCTCCTTTTGTTTCACATGCAACTTTGCAGCATGACCTATTTGAATAATTCAACTGAATTCTTATTTTAGAATTCAGACTGCCATTTGTTCCAACTAGTTCAACCAACACTTACCTAGAATTAATCAACACATCTGTTTTTGAGAGCACATAGTGATTGCTGATGCCTTGGGAAGCACACAAAAGTATTGAGCATATGACTGGGTTACTGAGCTATCTGCTAATATTTCTTAGATATTATTAAAGACTAGAGACAAATCAGATAGCATTCTTGTGCCACTAATAGGGAAGGGATTATTCTGGTATGGAATAAAGTACAAGCTTGCTCTGTGAGTTGGTCCGCATATCTTAAAGTTGCTAAGGTTGAGAAACACTGGTATAGACTGTGTCACCGTCTCAAAAGTTTCCTAAACTGAAGCATACTACAGGTAGTCCTTGCTTAATGACCACAATAGGGACTGGAAAATTCATTGTTAAGTAGGACAGTTAAGCGAGTCACACCCAATTTTATGAACTTTTTTGCAGCGTTTGTTAAGCGAATCATGTGGTCAAGCGAATCACACGGTTCCCCACTGATTTTGCTTGCCAGAAGCCGGATGAGAAGGTCACAAATGGCGATCACGTGACCCTGGGACACTGCAACCATCATAAGTGCAAGCTGTTTGCCAAGTGCCTGGATCATGATCACGTGACCATGGGGGTACTGCAACGGTTATAAGTGTGAGGACTGGTTGTAAGTCCCTTTGTAATGTCAAACAGTCACTAAACAAATGGTTGTTAAATGAGGACTACCTGTAGTATGGTACCCTTTTCAGACCTGAATCTTCAGGCTTAGAATCCTTGCATATATTGGTACATAGATTAAATACTACAGAACTTGCTTCTAGTTAAATATGTTCACTTGTTCTACTCAATCAACTATAAGAGCACACTGAGATTATAGCAGCAATGGAAATTCACTCTGCTTATACTTGAGGCTAGCTTACAGTTACTAAAGTAAGAGGTTATTTTGTACTTATATATTATTTCTACTGGGAGTGGTAATGTGTATAAGATGTTCTGCTCTGGATCAAATAGTTTGAGTAGCTTTGGGTGCTGAAAGCATTAACTCTGCTGCTATGCCTCTGGAATCTAACTTGCTGGGGCCACCCAGGGAACTGGAATCATAATTTGCTTAAGCAGCCAATGGCTGGATTTCGCAGTACAGTAAACCAAAACTAAATTAACTGCTTTTGGTACAGAGCAATGTGAGATCACAGATACAGGCTGTGGTTCACACAACACTAAACCATGAGGTAGCCAACTAGAAATTACTGTAATCTAGTTGTATGATCCACGTTGTTAATTTATAGGGTAGTATGTTGTGAAAACGAAGCAATTGGATTAAGTAAATTAACTATGAAGAAGGGCGTGATGCAGACGATCACAGATTGGGTCCACATATTAACTACCTCCCAAAGTCTTTAACCAGGGATTTAATCACTCTTTTATAGGGAAAAGCACCAGTGGCTTAGTCCAAAGGATAAAGTTTGAAGCTATGATTTATAAAGCACATTGCCACAAACCACGTTACGGCTCAGAAGCCGAAGCCATGACTACGTCATCTCCGCCACGAGGTGGACTGTGTAACTTGCATCGCTCGCAACATGCATGCTTGGCGCCACTTGCGCGGTGACGTCACGGCGGCTTCACCTCCCGGGACTCCCACCTTGGCTGCTGAAGACGCTGCCGCGTCGCAGCCGCCCGGGGCATCCGGTCCTGCGCGCAGCGACCGCCGCCCTGAAACGAAAAGAGAAACCACAGGACCTGGTAGCGGGCGCGGCGAGGCAGTCTTCAGCGCCTCTGCAGAGCAGCGCATCCGTCGGGCGGAGCTCTTGGGCGGGCGAAAGGAACGCCCTGTTCCAAGACGCCGACGCAGGGAGACGGGCAGGAGGGTCGCCGTCGTTGTCACTGCGGCGCAGCTGCTCCCTCGCCGAGGAGGAGAACTATGGCCTTCGCTTGGAGCCCCCTCTGGAGTCTCTGCGCCCTTGTAGGTCTCCTGCTGCCATCCGTCGGTGAGTGGCGGACGGGGG